GATTAACAACGAACCAGCAGTGCAGTATTCCTTGATTTTTAACGGCTCCCTAACTGAATTCGATCTGTGATCAGTCAAATTACACAAAATCAACACTTGGGTAATAAAAATAATTAACATCTAAAAGAATAAGCACATAGCTCTTCGTTCAGATAATGATACAGACAAAAGATAATTTTGACCAAGATAATTATGACAATAATAACAGAGGATAAAATAAAGAGAGAATGATAGTAGCAGTTGAAAGATAAAAGTTAATTCCATAGCAGATTCAAAATGACCACTATTTCCACTAGTATACACATATAGGGCTTATCAAAATTAGGTCGTATATTCGTTCCTTTGGTGAAATATTCCTACCCATACAGATTTACAAACACATAAAAAATAAACACTCATCAACGGGAAACCACAAACATGAATACATAATTTCAGATCACCTTTGCTTCACAAGAAGAGACAGTCATGGAACAATAATCTAGCGGATAATTCTTCAGCATTTGAAGCAATAAGTACTGGGGTCGAGCGTCAGTCAGAACACCACTACAAACTGGGCAACCAGTGGATCCACTTGAAAAGTCCAAAAATGGAGGAGTCCAGTAGTATGCTGCTTGCCACCAGTAAAACAACCAGACTTAGATATAATCTTAGATATGAAATTAGACATTCTAGAAGCCTTCTAACTGTCGAAATTAAGTAATATCTAATAAGTGCATAAGCAACACAGACAAATAAATTTATTTTAGCTCAAATAAGTTTGATCATGCCAGCACTAGATAGTATTGGCTTAGATATGATGAAAATTTCTAGTTCAAGTGAATGATATTGGTAGATTTCTCAAAAATCACTTTAAACAGCAGCATGCACTAAACACTTTTCTAGGAAGACAACGGATGCTTCTCCATAAAACCACATAGCTCATTTAACAAAACTACACCAATGTTTGACATTATTACTTTAATAAAACACAAAATTGGTACAACATGGCCACCAGGTGATACGACACATAGAATGTCATGGACTCTCAGACTGAACAAGGTACTTTTCTGAAGGCGTCTCCCCCTTCCGGAGCATTTGACTCGAATTTTGATCTACAATTTGGCAGGTCAGCGTCAGGAGCTACGCTCTAAAAGTTTCCAGTGGCCGAAACACCTTCAGAGTCAATCTGATCCTTTCCGATTTTGAAGCCCATGTACATGATGGGATTGTAATCAGGGCTTTCCAGTTCCCTTGGGTAGATTAGCATGTATACCTGTCCAGTTGTAATCGCCAGACATTCTCATTCTCACTTTCACTTTTGTGATGAACACTCCCGCCTCGCAAAGGCAATGATTAGAATTTACTCGGTAGAAGCTATGAATCCGCAACAATATGAGAGCATTTCGACAGGAAAACTGAAATCTAACCAGCCTCAGCCGTACCAGATCGAATACCTTACAGGCTGTTCTACATTACCCTTTTCGTAATATCAGTGACTTTTTCTATTACCTTGCATGCAAATCACACTGAAACTGAAACACTCGACATCCGAAGTAAAATGAAGATTATTCTTTGAGTTACTTTAAAAAAAATTCGACTCTTCTTATCTTTCATTCATCCAATTTTATGATGGAAAAACTACAGTAATTAACTTTCTTCTCTACATCTTTGTCTCTCCATCTTTGGCCAACACGAAACTCTCTCAGAGTCAGTGCTGAAGTGGAATTTCTGTGTGCGCATTTATGTCAAAGTAAAATACAGGCGGAGAGAGAGAGAGGGGTGACATAATTACTGTGATTCGTGAACACTTAATCTACATTTTTTCAATCATCATCATTATCATAACTCACATCGATAATTAAGAAAAGCAATTTATGGGGAAAAAGCGCTTACAAAGATTAATTGATGGGATTAGTAAAGAAAAAGCAACAGACAAACAGGGAGTTTTTTCCCTTCCTAAGTGAAGGACTCTAAATTTAGACACTTCAGCAAAGTAGATTTAACTAGCAAAAACAATTCAGAGAAATGATTATGACTTTTGAAAAATAATACTGCTGAATTAACCACAGTTTAGTCTCTTAATTTGGATTTCATTTAAACCCTGTGATGGAGTAGGCGTTGATTTTTAGATAATGAGAGGAAGTTTTTACCGCAAAATTAGTCGCCTTGATAAATGTTTGTGAAAAGGAAAACTCAAACGTAACACTTACAGTTTAAAGTAGATGTTCTATGTAATTGCCAATCTTAAACACTTTCCAATTACTATTTGCGCTAACTTGAATTTCGATTCTCCCTTTGACTGATCAGATCGACCTGTTCGGTCTCCATTGACATGTTGTCTAGTCACCATCCATCAAACTATTTCAAGTTTTCATTTACGTTGGATGAAGTTTGCAGCTAGAGTTGCTAAAATCAAAGTAGTTTTTTCGTACGATTGAGAATATTCGTAGAACAGGAGAATGATATTCATTTAGATGTGTTCACTGAGCTTGGGAAGCCTTCATTATCTCTCCAGAACGAATTTTCAGTCCACACATCAAACTAAAGTATGGAAATTTTGCAAATAAATTACCCAGCTCAAGTAACATGATGGCATTAAAGTACGTTTTAGGATAAACGCATAAATATACCACTGATTCGTAGAACTGATGTCCTAATGAAGTATAGTCTGATATTTTAACAATTATAGTGTTGTATTATTTATATTAATATGGTAAATTTAATGAATATGAGATTTCAGCATGAGATCATGTTGGTTAGAGATTCACTGAAAAACCTTGGAATACTGTACAGCCGCTCCATTCATGTTTGAGACTTTTCAGCAGTACGCACCCACCGGTGCCATATCGTGAATTGACAGAAGTTGGATTCCATGAACCATTGGATCGAGTCCCAGTGACTTAATGGTCTACAAACTTGTCTTGTAATCGGAAGATCCTGAGTTTGAATCCTGGTGAATGCGTACTGCAGAAACTTGGACGAAACGGCTACACAGTACTCCTAGAATTTCCAATAGTTCTCTAACCTATGTCAGCTCATGATAAAATCCTGTAACCAATCAAATCGAATTCTCGCAAACCAGCACTTTAATGAATGTAATTTGGTTGGGCACTTGGTAGGCCACGACGTGCATCTAGTCTTTGATGTTAATGAAGATTTAACTGTAACAGTCATGTTTGCATGGTGGCCACTATGCAGGGTGTTTGGCCTTCACAGTTCACTCTGAGTTGTTGTTAGAAAAGCTCGATGGTAAGTCCTCTGACTGCAGCATTGGATGAAATAAGTTTCCCCAAGATTGCAGATACGCCTTACTGACGAGGGAAGACAAGCATGAAACCTTGATTCCAATTTTCCTACCGATTGTTTCTAACCATCTAATGAATATAATCTCATATACGGATAAGAAAATGAGCAAGTGACTAATGCAAAGTCGAATTACCAGAAATTAACATGTTCAGTATACTTAAACAAAAATTCATGAACACATAAACTCAGTCGTTTACTGTCATCATATTCTGTCAATTTATTTGGCAGTTCTCAAGTGGTAGGTTTGAAGGGCTGAAGGGCTTGAAATCGAGAAATCACAGTGGAATCTTCAGTGGTGCTGAAATATAACTTCTTACCGAAATGCTGTCAGTTAATCACAAAAGAATCACCTCTAATTTATTCACTTTACACGAATTTGAAATGTGAATAGAACATATTATGTAAATTTTACCAAGGTTTACGTTTTTATAAGTGAGAGGTGTACAATAAGAAATAAACTGTATACTACTCTAAGGTTACTAGTACAGTAATATCAATTCATATCAAAAATGTTGTGAAGTACTCTTTACACTTTAAATATTCTATCAAACAAGATGAATACATCCATAGTGTTTCCTCGATTTTCTCTCAGCTAGCTTCGTTTGGTCTCTGTTACATAAAGGAAGTCTTAAAACAATAAGCCTTCAGGCTTTACCGCCACCCGCACACCTGGTTTCACTGAAGAAATTATGAAAAATTTATTGTAAAACGCATCAATATAAGTCTTTTATTAGTCAAGAAAATTAAAAAGTGACGTCAGTTACTAAACATCCTTCACAGAAACATGTACGAAACAACTAACTACCACCAATGGTCTCTGAGTCGTCAGTGGATTCGTTGATTTCATTCAATAGGGAACATAACTCATGGTAAGAATTGCATTAGTTAACTGAAGTAAAAATAAAAAAGGATGCTAAAGTGATAATTCTAGGATATTGACAACATGAACAATTGGAGCTTGGACGTCACAAAATCTGAATAAGTTAGACAAAAATCCACCGACAATTAAATGAAATAAAGCAAGAAAGATAGTTTGTCGGTGTGAATATTCAGCGGAAGCATTTAGGCTTAAAACAGTAATTATAACCGTTTTCTCTCATTCCTTTAAAAATGAGCTTTGTTGTTCACATCCGACCATGAAAGTACTATGGGTAATCATCAAGTGGTGTACAGTTTTTTTTTTCTTTTACGTTCCCCAGTGGAACATAGGGCTTCAAGCTAGTGGCTTGAAGTTTCTTTAGCAGTGTTTATTTTACGGGATGGGGTTGCTAGCCTCATGCCCAACCTTTCCTCTTCAACAGCATTATTTTTGGCTTAGCGAGTTAAAGGAGTGCGCCGGCCGGGAATCGAGCCCTGGGCCATGTGCACGGCCGGCGAGCGTCCTAACCGCTATACCACCGACGCACGATGTACAGTTTACTATACCTAAATTGATACCATTATATATCTGTTTAAAGAAGTAGGACTTATGAGAAATAATTGCTATCATTATTATTACCCAGTGGTTCTATAACTGATGACAGCTCATGATGAAATCCCCCATCTAATCAAATAAAATCCCTACAAAACCAATACTTAAACTAAATAAATTGCCCATATATAACAAGGAAAACTAATTTTCTCTTATGTAAACTTCAGTTTATTTTTCCTCACTAATTTTAATCCTACATAAAAATTATCATTCTCTTTTTCGTTCTCTATTTTGCTTAAATTAGGTGAAGCATTTCTCTGTCTACTGGATATTGTTCCAATTAAAAACGACAAATCACAAGTTGTACTATTCCTTGTTTCGCACAAGGAACTGTCACCAGATCGACATGGAAGAAGTAAGTTAAGATGGCATTACCTGTTTAAACTTGACTATGTACGTGAATATGCAAACTAGTCTTTTTCCTACAGCATGTTTTGTGAAATTTTAAAAAAAAGGCGTATGAAATTGAATAATATTTCTGAATTTTTTCTATGATGGGTAGTATCATATACTATTACAGAGTTGATATGACAACTAAGGGGAACTGACAAACACGTAGACGAAATTTATTGTCGTCTTTCTCCAATTATATATATATGTACATATTTAAACAAAGCAATAATAAGACGTCATTAGTCTGAATCGTGTAATGTATTTGCGCAACACATTTCGAATAATCTGATTACACACAAACTTGTCATAGGAATATATATGAAATTCATAGAGTTAAGGGGTGACCTAAATTTATTTCCTCACAAGTTTGACAAGTCCGTGTGTGATCAAACTTTTCATAATGTGTTGTGAAAATACATTACACGATTCAGACAAATTACGTCTTCTTATTACTTTTTCTAACTAGATTCATAAAGCGAACAAACTGTTTCATATATACATATACGTATATACCACAGAATTCATTTGTTTCGTAACAGACATTGATGGTGCATACCAGCTATGAGTTCATGAATGCGTTTCAAGCTTGTGATCTATATTATAAATAAGCTTCTCCTTGAATTCATATAAATTCCAATTAAAAACAGCAACAAAAGTTAAAAAAGTAAAACCTAATGAATTCATCAAATTTCGGTAGAACTCTTCAGCTAAATACTTTGCATACAGGGATACATAAAAAGAACCATTAGAATTACATTTGGAGATATTGGACTGATAAGCGAATAAACCTTGTTGGTATTAGATGGTTGGAAGCAATCGGCAGAAAGCCTTGAACCTAGGTTTCGTGCTAGTCGGCACACGTCAACAAGGCGTATCTGCATACTAGAAGGAAATCACATCCCTTCTGAGATCCGACCTCGTCTCACTGAGCGTTACAATCATAGATGTTACCATTGAGCTGTTCGGGATCGTGATAGATTGATAGAATTAAGTCTGCAGCAAAGATAGGGCTAGACACATTACAGTAGTTACTGGCTAGTGCCCAGTCAAATAAACCTTACTAAATCAATTATACAAAACGACAGCTTTGAATGTTCTTCAGGTCGTCTACAGACAGATAAGGGGAAGGGAGTATGAGAGCTTAAAATTAGGATAATAATGCATTGAGATTCAATTACATTACTAAAATTAACAAATATTTATCAGAGAAATGACTTGAATATATCAGGAATTGCAAACTGAATAATACTGACAGTAATGGTAATGGTAGTAATAATGATAATCAAAAGACTTTAGATACTGGTTCTGATAAAAGAAAGTTTTAAAGGAATCAAGAATAATATTGTTTTAATTCAATTTAATTAATTCCAGATATGTCGGTTAGTTGAAAGCGATTGGCATTGGACCTAGGTTTCGTGCTTGTTTGCACCCATCATCAAGGCATATCTATAGCATTTAGGGAACCGATATACCTCTTCTTTGAGGTTCAAACCCGTATCACCCAGTGTTGCAATCAGAGGCGTAACCATTGGAGTATCCGGGTTTATGGATAGCCATTTGTAAGGCTATAGTGGACAGACTGGTAGGACAGTTGGGAATAGACCAACGTCAAGTCAAGTCACCTTGCTTAGTTATCACATTTCAAATCTGACTGACAGAATTCAGTCTGCGCCAACACCGAGGAATAGGCACATGATGACGCATGGTGAAAATATTAAAAGTATGGTAAGTATCTATATGGAAAACAGATGACAAGTGATTAACTTAACTAATTAGGAGTCTTATGAATATCTTTGCTACATGCTGTGAAGTGGAATAAAAAGTCTCAGATATTCATTTACTTCTTCAGGTGAAAAATTTGGAAATATTAAAGAAAGACAGCAGTTATAACGAAACTGTTATGTTGGTAAGAATACAATCATTTGGATGCCTTGTCTCCTATATCACTGTCAATACAATCGGGTAGTTATGAGTGCTTTGCGCCACTGAACTTCCTAACTATTAGATTTGCGAAACTATTGCTCTAATTACTATATGCAAGGACAACCACCACAACACGATGCCAGTGGCATGCAATGCAAAAAAGGATCACAGACTGCTGAGCAGAGAGCTTTTGCTGTCTCGGATTAACAGTTCAATTTGACAGTCATAATAATAATATCACATCAAATATATACAGAGAGATTTAAAAAAGATGGAATCAACCCACAGACAAAATGCTTATAAAATATCACTTAGCAAACATTATTTGAAAAAGTTAAAATCAATCGATATGCCTAATGTAAATCTTCATTTTAACACGGAATTAAGGACATATAATAACACTACTAGGAGTATATAACAGTTTTATCCAACTAGGCACAAAAAAAGGATGTAAAAACGATGATGCTGTAAATCGCATCTACACAGACTTTGCTTTCCACAATCAATTAATGATACTCTGATCATCATTCACCACTTCAATGACTGACTTCCATTGGTTAAAATGAAGATTCTTGATATATTAAGTGAAAAATATGCTTTTAGATCACATATGAACACTATTTGCATGAGATAGTTATTGTGGTATGCAGCAGACTGAGAGAATTCTGTAAAAGTACACCAAAATTTTTCATAATCATGATGCCAGCGACACTTATGATGTGAAGTATAGCTTTGGTTAGGCAACCGTCAAACATCACAAATTACAACAACAGTTTTTTTGTAGCTCTTGTTTATAAGCTTCCTGGTAGGAAGGCCATATGTATCACTGATATAAGAATAGAACTTGTACATTGTGGTAGAGTATAAATCATTTCATATAAGACTTGATGTGAATATGAGTAGTAAATTGTGCTCGAAACGTCATCAGTAAATATTAGTGTATAACACTGTTAGACTTTATTAAAATAAATTTCAGTCACAATGGAATTATAGCTCTTGTTTTTTATGAAGACAAACTATATAAAATTATGCAACATTCATACAACATTGATGGCTAATTCAGTACCAGCATTAAGAGTAGAAATGTTGTTATAGAGCAGTTATTAATCTATCAGTACTCAGAAGCCTTTAGGAATAGGATTTTAGGTATTCTGTTTCTTTCTTTATTGAGGGATGAGACCAACTTTTGTCGCGTTCATTCATGCCTACGAAACTTCTTCACCTAACAAGAAGATTACTGCAGTGTCAAATACCTGGTAACTTCCTACCAATCTATTTTTAACTCAGAATTTTCTGTAGGATCTTAAACAACTAGACGGGACAGTTATAATTTGCTTTCTTTATACCTTCAGTTCCAAAATGTGTTTTATTTATGCATCATTTAACACCTCTTAATCATGATAAGTAGTGGTTACAGGAATAAATTAACGCTCAGTTAAGAATCATGAAAAATCATAAAGCACTCAGAAGTTGTGTCTCATCATAGTTTTCAAATTACTGTCTAGGTATCATCTCCACAGTCGCCAATTCCCTTGAAAACGAATTAGTCAAATATTATATAATATCTTTTCAGTAATTCTCTAAGCCTTGATCTACAATAATCAATACACACTGTCTGAAAGATTCAAATTCCAGCATAACTGTGCCGTTCCATTAGAGAAAATTTAATTGATAAAGTTTCACAGCATTAAACAGTAATATTTACTTATGATGTTTCGAGCACAATTTATTGATCACAATCATATCAGGCTACCCACACAACTTACCGACTTTCTTTAAATAACTGTATTACCTCTCATCTCGTGATTTGATTGATAGTAATATTTTCCATATCACTGGTATTAGTGATGAGTCATTCTTATTCCATATTTTGGGTGACAATTCGACGCATAAAAATTTTGTGATGAACCTCTCTCTCCAACTACCTATATTACTCCATAGAATGGTAACCTTCTCCCATTCTATTGTGTGGTTGCGTCTTAATGCGTGCAGTGTGATTGCTGATATTTTTCTAAATTAACTATCTTCTCGGGATCAACCATTCTTACCTTGGCTAATTTCTTATGTTCTGACAATCTGACTACGCCGGATCTGATCTAGTAGACCACCTCACTATCGTTGCAAGGTATTTTTTAAATCACATTATTTCATCTAATTAAGTCAACAGGGCCCTTTAGCCTACAAAGTTTATCCCTGAGTGAGTTTGTAGGTTAGAATGCCACCCTAATTCCTACTTCATTAGGAATCCCAGGGAGGGTTTCAGATGTCTCCTCCTTATTTGGTAAACTACTGTAGATGCCTAATATTCTTTCATATTTATGTTATCATTATTAGTTTCCCCATGATTTTTATTTTGTTTTTGACCTTTTCTGATCTTCCTAATGAATTTTGTTGGATATTTATTCAACACCAGTGCCTCTTCCATCTGTTTTCTTTCATCGTTTAGGTTTTTTGTTGTACTACTTAGTGCTATTACTCGTTTTGTTAGACACTAAACCAAGCCAGTCTGTACAAAAAACAGATGAGATGAATTGAAGTCTAGATATCTATTAGAATGCGGTGGCTTTATGTAAACACTAGTGTGCAGTTTACTTTCTTCTGTTCGTTTTATTTTACAATCTAACATTGCTAATTCTCCTTCTTCGTTTTCTGTTTCAAATGTAAATTTTATTCCATTTACCACTGAGGTTATATGCGTGAAGATACCAGTGATATGTTTTTTTTAACACTGTGAATGTGTTATCCACATATCTCCACCATATTTTTGGAGTAGGATTAAATGTATTGAGAGCACTATTTTCCCAGCTGTCCATAAAAATGTCTGCTACAATAGGGGATATTGGTGATCCCATTGCTAGACCTTCTGTTTGTTATAATTATGAGCGAAAAATAGTGTGCTTAACACGTCATCAGTAAATATTACTGTATAACACTGTGCAACTTAATCAAATAGACTTTCTCCCCGATGGAATTATACTGTAACAGCAGAAGGCAAGACACGGAAACCAAGGCATGTTTTTCATTTATCAAATCGCTGTT